GTACTTTCTTCAAGTCTTAAACTTATTAGATTACATGTAGCTCTCCTGCCTGTCTCATAGTTATTTTCATTTTGCAGGTAGTAGAATTCCTTTTGGAATCATCTTCGGTGGCACGGATATAAATGAAGATGTCAAACATGAAGAAAAACACCGGGTGATGGGGGCAGTGTTAGAAGAAGCCAGGTAACAATGAATGTGGGGTTTATGCAGAAGATTATTGTTCATCATTATAAAAATAAATAAATATTGTGGTTGGTGTTTATTAAAGACCTGAACCTGTTACCACTAGAGTTACTGGGAGTTTGGCATAGACTTCAATAAGAACAGAGCAAACACTTTGTAAAACTGAATGTGTAAACATTCTGTTCTTATACTGCAGTCACCACTGTGGTATTTGACCATATTAATGACTTACCCAAATCATACAAAGAACTGGTGGAAGAGCCCTGGGGATTTTCCAAAGCACCGATGTTAGTTAGAAGCTCAAGTCCAATTAAAAGTTAATGGAACTTGTGGTCCTAATTATCTAACCCTGTGCTTTGTCTGCTAAACCACAACTGTTCCCGAGAATAGTGGATGTGTGCATGTGAGGAGGAAATCCTATTATAGGGCAGGTAAAAGGTGTAATAATCTTATAATCAGAAATGCAGTAAAACTAATACCTAGCATATTTAATTTATATGTGATCAGATATATGTGTGTAGGAGGAAGGGAATTTTTTGGAAAATAATAGGTTTGCTTTTTTAAAGGCACAGCATCTGGCAGTTTATTGCTCTTTAATGGTAGACTGGTAGTGAGTTTGCACTGGGATGGTATGTCTTTTCTCTTGCAAAAATGTGATCTATTTATCTTAGTTTTTTGTGATTAAGCTCATCACCCTAGTATGTGAGTGCAAATCAATGTTACCTGCCCCCACTTATTTCAATGTATATTTTCAGTGGTTTGCCAGGACTAAAACACAGCTGTGAGTGTCCCACGATATCCACAGAATTGTCTTTCATAACTAACATGACAGTTGGGTATTTGACCCCCAAACTGGTATGATGATTATTTGTTATTGCAGTAGTGCCTACAGGCCTAAACCGGGTTGGACCCCATTGTGCTAGGCCCTGTACAAACATATAGTAAACAATAATAATCATTGCCCCAAAATGATACTTTTAAACCTCCATGTCCTTTTTCTATTAACCTCCCTTCTACAATACAAATAATGTCTATCTTGGGAACCCTGTTCCATCAGCATTTGCAATCCAAGTTCAAAGCTGCCCAACTGTTTAATTTCAGCAAAACCACAACTAACAAACATATCATTAGGATCAGTACATTACAGACTCAAACCTGATTCCCCCCATGCCTCACAAAAGCTTTTTCTGTGGCTCATGTAGTGCTTGCATCTGGCACGTTGACAGTGCACTTGATTGGAGTGTCGGAGACTCAAGTTGAAAGTGGTTTTGTTCTTTCTTTCTTTATTTTTTGTTAATATGCTTCTTTTTACAGCTGCATAAACAAAGCAGCATAGACCATGCAAGAAAAATCATTTAGTATTGCATGTTAACCTGTTGTTTTATAATTAAAGAAAAAAATCCAGTGACTAGTTATAAAGCTATCCAAGATACTGCAAGAACTAATTCTTGAATCAGAATATACGTGTAACAATGAACAGACTTTTTGATGACACTTTTCACTCTTTCAACATCTACATTCACTGAAAAGGGGAGGGTCTGTCTTAGGGCCTGATCCAAAGTCCATCGAAGTCAATGAGAATCTTTCCATTGACTTCAGTGGGTTTTGGAGGCAGGCGTGGGACCTTCCATCTCATGCATTGGAACTCAAGAGTATTTCAAAACCATGGTACATTTTTATTGGTATATTTAAAATTAATGTAAAGGTTGATTTAACTTTTGACAGTTTATTTGGAGGCTGATTCAGTGACCTTTACTTGTGTTGAGTACTACTTTACTCTGTGAGTCATCCCACTGACATGCAAGTAAAACATGATTTCAGTGGGAATAGTCATAGAATATAGTACTAATCAACATAAGTAATGGTAACATTAAGAAATGGTGGCAGAATAGGCTTTGTAGCCCTTGATTCTACAATGAGCTCTGCATGAATGCAGGGGTGGAGCTCACTGAAGACTGGGACTATAAACCCTGAAGCTGCAAGGTACTTAAGCACATGCTGAAATTTAAGCACCTGAGTAGCCGCATTGAAGCTAAGGGGCTACTTACATGCTTAAAGTTAGACACATGCTTAAATACCTGAACTGGAGTGTAAGGCCTCACACTCCAGTTCAGGAAAGTATCTCTATTCACATCAGCTCTTCTGCATGGGCACAAGTCAAAGTCCCAGTGAACCAATCACTAAAGCACTCTGATTCAGGACAGCATTTAAGCACGTGCTTAAGTCAGACGTGGGCAAACTACGGCCTGTGGGCCACATCCGGCCCATGGGACTGTCCTGCCCGGCCCTTGAGCTCCCGCTGGGGAGCCTAGTCCCTGGTCCCTCCCCTGCTGTCCCCCCTTCCCCACAGCCATGCCGCTGGGCAGCGTGGGAAGCGCAGGTGGCTCTGGCCGGGTGTCGCGGCTGCGAGCTCCTCCTGCTGGTAAGGGGGCGAGGAGTGTGGGGGGGGGGGGTTGGTAAGGAAGCGGGGAGTCCTGGGGGGCAGTCAGGGAGCAGGGGGGTGTTGGATGGGGGTGGAGGTTCGGGGGGGGGGCGTCAGGGGGCTGGGGAAACAGGGGAGGGTT